GGGGAGAGTAAGTGCCTTCCTCCCTGCCTCTCCCCACCCCTGCCTGCCTGGGGCCAGGGAGGGCCTTCACAGTGCTTTCTCGCACTCCCGCCGGCCTTGAAGGTCCACCGCCGGGTCCCTCATGGGGCTTGGCAGTGGAGCTGCAAGGCCGGCGGCGGCCGGGATCGTTGGGGGCGGGGTGTGTGGCCTTATGACACACTTCCGGTGATGTCAGGGGGTGCGGCATATGCTAATGAGTTATGCTAATGAGTTCCCCTAGCTCTTTTTCTACGAAACGACCCCTGCATTTTACAGGTTATTTGAAATATAGCCAAGCCCTTCATATTTACTCCATATATGGCCCGTCTTTCTCCCCAGTGGGGCCCAAAGTACTCTTTTCCTCCATTTTGTCCTCACAACGACCCTGTGAGGTGGGTTAAGCCGTGTGTATGCTTCACTGGCCCAAGGTTATCCTGTGAGCTTCGTTAGCAGAACACGGATTCAAACCTGGGTCTCCTGGGTCCTTCTCTGACACACTAACCAGGGACCTGCACACAGATCTATCTGGTCCAGAAATATGCCAGAAAAACATCTCCGTGCTTTGGGGGAATATTCCAGATCCGGATATGCCTCAGAGAATCATTAGTATCTTGAGCCCCAAAAATCCAGGAAACATTTGGGAATATCTGAGGCTGGCATTTTAAAGCACCAGACTTGGGTTGGGGGGTTTTGTTTTTGCTTTTTACAGGTTTTCCAAGGCAACAGGATGGGGGGGGGGGTAGGGAAGCAGCTGTCACAGGGGAATGGGCTCTCACATTAGGAGGAGCTTGCCGGGTCTCTAGTTTGACATTGGTTCCGTTGGGCTTGTGCTGCCCCATTGGCCCTGTAAGCATGAGCCAATGGATATATCTCTCGCTCGCGGCAAAGCAAGCGGGCATAGCAGAAAAGCCGTTAGCTTTCCCAGCCGTGGAAACTGCAGCTGGAACATCTACAAGGTCAAGTATAAGATAGCACACAGTAGTTGAGGTGGATAGAGCTGAGAATGAGAAGGATGGTACCCCTCCACATTCCAGAACTATGACAGGGCTACCTGACAACTTGCCCCTAGGAACTGTGTTTAGGATTGTAGCCTTGGGTAGTTGTCCTGGCTGGGCAGCACCGGGACTTGTATCTTTTACTTCAGTAATTTTACTTGTCTTTTTGCTTGCTCCTCTAGAATCCAGATAACCCTCAGTCGGCAGGTGTGTTCATCCCCGTTGCCAATGATCTGAAGCGGAAGGACAAATTCATGAACGTTCTCTTCTCTTCTCATGTTCGCAAGGTAAGCAGCTACAGGGAGGTGAAAGAGTCTCCTCCAGGATGTGCACAAAAGGGGCTTCTAAACAAAAGATGTGCATGGCCAGAGCTGGAGATATAAGGGATCTTTCACTGTAACGCCTGCGATGTCCAGAAACACTTCGGCAAGTACAATGCTTTGAAAAGTATGAATGGGAGATAATGGGGGATGTGGGGTGTTGTTGTTCAGTCGCACAGTCAAGTCCGACTCTTTACGACCCCATGGACCAGATCACGCCAGGCCTTCCGGTCTTCCGCCGTCCTCTGAAGTTGGCTCAATTTCATGTTCGTTGCATCGATGACACTGTCTAACCATCTCATCCTTTGCCGTCCCCGTCTTCTTTGACCTTCAATCTTTCCCAGCATCAGGGTCTTCTTCTCCAGGGAGTGCTCCCTTCTCATTGGGTGTCCAAAGTATTTGAGCTTCAGTTTCATTATCTGGCCTTCCAGGGAACAGTCAGGGTTGATTTCTTTTAGGATTGACTGATTGGATCTTCTTGCAGTCCAAGGGACTCTCAAGAGTCTTCTCCAGCACCATAGTTCAAAAGCATCTATTCTTCGGCGCTCGGCCTTCCTTATAGTCCAACTCTCGCAGCCATACATGACTACTGGGAATACCATTGCTTTGACCATGCGAACTTTTGTTGGCAGGGTGATGTCTCTACTTTTCATCATGCTGTTTAGGTTCGCCATCGCATTCCTCCCAAGGAGCAGGCGTCTTTTAATTTCATGGCTGCTGTCACAGTCTGTGGTGATCTGGGATCCCAGGAACGTGAAGTCTGTCACTACTTCCACGACTTCCCCTTCTATTATGTCGATAAAGTTTTTATCGATTGCATTTTAAAACCCGCTTCTTGACTGCAGTTTCCATAGTGGCTCACAACGTTTGTAAATTTGAACATTCCTTGGCATTGCCCTTCTTTGGGATTGGAATGTAAACTGACCTTTTCCAATCCTGTGGCCACTGTTGCGTTTTCCAAATTTGCTGGCAAATTGAGTGCAGCACTTTAACAGCATCATCTTTTAAGACTTTGAATATGTGGGGTACTGAAATGCGAAGCCCTGAGATCAACAGCCAGATTAGTATGTCGATAAAGTTTTTATTGATTGCATTTGTAAACCCACTTCTTGACTGCAGTTTCCATAGTGGCTCCACTATGCAACAGATGCAACAGATTCAGTTAAAAGCAAAACCATATTTCGATATGGGAAGCAGTCAGCCCAGCTGTACCGAGAGCTCTTCACCTGCCTCACCTCCTCCCTCTCCTTCAGATGCCTTCGGAGACGTTCCTCACGTTACGCAGGCTACGTTAAGTATAAAGAATGCTGCCTGGGAAGGCACTTTTGAGAAGAGCCTCTTTTTACAGACCTCTTCGGCCCCGAAGCCAGCGTCATGTTGGTCTGCAGATGGCATCAGCCATGATGAAGCTGTGGCACAGCCTGGTATCCAAGCCTGGCTAGGAGACAGGGGTTGCCCTTGAGACGTGCCTCCTCCCCTCTTCCCCCCCCCTCCTCCATTCCTTTTTTGAAGCTAGTTGTGGTGGGCATGCGTCCCGTGCTACTCTTCACCCTACCTATAGTGAGCAGACTAACAGAAGGAGAAGAAGAAGAAGAGATTGGATGTAAAGCGCTTTAAGGTTAAAGCGCTTGGGGCTCTTTAGCTTGGAGAAACGATGACTGAGGGGTGACATGATCGAGGTTTATAAGATTATGCATGGGATAGAGCAGGTAGAGACAGAGGTACTTTTCTCCCTTTCTCACAATACAAGAACTCGTGGGTACTCCATGAAATTGATGAGCGGTCGGGTTAGAACGGATAAAAGGAAGTCCTTCTTCACCCAAAGAGTGATGAACACATGGAATTCACTGCCACAGGAGGGGGTGGCGGCTACAAGCATGGGCGGCTTCAAAAGGGAATTAGATAAGCATATGGAGCAGAGGTCCATCAGTGGCTATTAGCCACAAGGTATAGATAGGGGCTCTGGGGCAAGTGATGCTCTGTCTTCTTGGTGCTTGGGGGGGTCAACAGTGGGAGGGCTTCTAATGTCCTGGCCCCACTGCTGGACCTCCTGATGGCACTGGTATTTCTGGCCAATGTGTGACACAGAGTGTTGGACTGGATGGGCCATTGGCCTGATCCAACATTGGCATCTCTTATTTTCTTATGTTAACTTGTGACTGACCCAAGGACATGACTGGCTCTTTAAATCTCTAAAGATCTCACAATACAAGAACTAACACCTCCTAAATCAAAACTATTAAAAGAAAGCACCAATCTACTTTCAGAAGAAGGAACACAGAAAAAGAGAAAAGTTTTCCTAGAACTGGATACTCGATCAGAGAGCTCTGAGAGCAATGACCTCTTGGTAGTAATGTGAAAATAAGAATTATGTGACTCTTTATTATTGATAAACTCTTATTTATTTATTTATTTATAGATGGAAACACATAGGAGTGAACAAGAAACCTTATGACAAAAAAACCTGAGAAGTAAACATGTATAGAAGAATTAGAAGCTTGTGTCTATAGCACTCTCATCCTGTTTTGGGGTCATCTTTATTCTCTCTGAACTCAAATTTAAAATTTAAAGAATCACAGAGATAACTCTAAAATAATTAGCAGAACCAGGATTACCTTTTGCCTGTGTTTTAAGAAAGTCACATCTTTCCAATTTTGTCTGTAGCTGGTTTGTTATTTAATTGTATATAAAGTAATATTGTTAACCAAGTTACATAATATTGTTACATCACCAAGTTTAGTTTCCTTTGGATGAAAATTTTATGGTATATTCTTTTAATTACAAATATACAACCAGAGATTATAGGATGCAAGCAGATACTTAAAAGCATCGCTGCTAACACTGCATCAGATGCCCAGACAGCAATGTGTGCAGCATCCTTCCCTCTTCCTGTAGTTATTTACAGTGCAATCTTAAGGAGAGTTACTCCAGTCTAAGCCCATACATGGCTGGAGTAACTGCATAGGATTGCATTGTTAGCCTCTATGCCCTATTGCAGGACCTCCAGAGGAATTGGTTGGCCACTGTGTGAGACAGGAGGCTGGACTAGATGGACTACTGGTCTGATCCAGCAGAGCTGTTCTTATGTTCTTATTTATATTTATTAAATTATTTATAACTTGCTCTACTCCCTTGGTACCCAAGTCTGGTAATTCCAGTTGGCTTTTTGTCTCCAAAGTCGAAACTGCTTCAAAGTTCTGCTGATTTCTCTATCTCTCCCAGTAGTTGGAATCTGTCAGCTCCCAGCTCTGATGGATGTTACATTCCAAACCTCAGACCAGAGATTCCCAACGATCAGGAAAACTTCTCATATCATTAGTTCCCATTGATAAAACATTAGCAGAACATTTCTGACCATTAGAAAGCAATCAACTTAACATATTTATTTTCTTGATTTATGCCCCACTCTCCCCCCTTAGTCCCCTCCTCCATATTATCCTCCCAACATCCTTGTAATATAGGTTATCTGTGAGTTTGTGGCTGGCCCAAGGTCACCCAGCAAGCTTCCATGGCAAAGTGGGGATTAATAAATGTTGATCAGCCAGCATTTGTAACAATATGCTACATAATTAAATAATAATGTTTAGTGTTGTTATTATCTGGCTTAACAGTGTATACTCTTTCTTAAACTCAAAGCAGCTTACAAAAATCAGTAAAAGTAATGCTCAACAATCATAAATTCTAACAACAAATTTTCAGCAAAAAAGAAAATATAGAAAATCCATGTCAACTGCTCTATAACATTTGAGCACTGATCCAGTGTTATTTTCAATGGGCTGGATCCAAAGGTGTCACATTGCCATTGGACAATTTTTGCCGATCCCACCTCCTGTTGCAGTCCACTGAGCTCCCCAAAATGTTGCTTTTGGAGGACAAAAGATAATCAAGATCAGTGTGGGTGGGATATGTGAGGTCTGCAGTGCAGTTGGAGGCAGAATCCATGAACATCACCCCCTTCTGCTGGCAGAAATTACTTACTGGTAGAAAAGAGTCTCTGGATTCATTAATATGCTTGCTAGAAGTAATTAAATAATAAATAATTATCTGTGGTATCATGTAATTAAAATTATGGAAGAACTCTATAAATGCTACTATTTACTTAAAAACTTATTTTCTTTTCAAGAGTATCACATCAGAGCAAGAAAGGTTTAAAAAAATGTACAAAGATTATCCACAAGCATCTCCCCTATGTGTCATGGCACCAAAAAAGGTATCTTTTCAGTATGACTTAAAAACAAAATAAATGTTACAACATGCTTCAAACAAAAAATAAAATTGATATTTTAATCTTTTTTAAAAAGGTCCACACTCCATCCTGTCAGAAAACTCCTGGATCTTCTGTGAAAGTTGCAGCTATGAGAAAGATACGAGATGCTGGATGGACTGCGGTCTCCAAGATGGACAGGAGGAAAAAAATGAAAGAAGCTGGAAAACTCTTTGCATAAATATATAATTTATGGCTTGAGTAACTACTAAGTTTATTACGACACTTGAATTCAGTTCTGCCTTGGTTATATTTTGTTACAATAGTTTTTATTTTTAAGTAGCATGTTCTTATTCTGTTGAAAAGACTCCAGTTGTTTAATTCAAAATGTTGTTCCCCTTGAACATACAGCATGAGCCATCCTCATGTTGATGCAGTTGTGGTCTGTGGGAGTAGATTATGCCCTTTTTCTTCCCTGCTGTATCCAGGAAGGAAGGATTATTGGGTGTATTTATGGGAGGCTTCCACAGTTGTGCTCAGATGGAGAGGAAACGAGAAAAGAGAGCTCAGCTGAGCCATATGCCAGTCTTCTCCCATACGCTGAGCTGCACATATAGTTGAACAGAAAGGACAATTAGATGCTTTCTACGTTAGTGAATTTTCATTCAAGAATGGACTGGAACAGGTTGAGGAGATCTGACTAATTGCCAGTGAGACAGCTTCAGAGCAAATACTGTTTACCATCAAGTAGCAGAGAATTTTT